TTAGACTTGAGCCATATTTGCGTTTACAAATAACCAATGCAATGATCTTCGTATTTGTGAGTAGCCTCGCCACTTGTTAGAAGCTCACCTGTAACTGTTTGGAATGTACTATTTTGCCCTGTCATCTATTTGATAAAGGATTGTTTAATCAGATTCAGTTTATTTATTTTTTGAATTAATACTCTAATTAATCTAAAGGGCTTAAAACAAAAAAATTATTTGTTATGACAATGCGATAGTACGGATCGTTAGTTTTTTTCGTTTTTTTCCTATAATTTTTCTAGTTGGCCTACAATATCTCGATTTAGCTAGCATACTACTTTTTGTTAGATTACCTTTCATTTAGTTTCGAGAGGGGATTGGAAGGTATTCGTAAGTTGGTTCCACCGGAAGCTGTGGAGGGATTGTCTTAGAGCTGTGATTGTAGATTTGTGCAAATAGATCCTCGGCACATCGCCTTGCGACCTCGATATTTTCTTACTGAGCTCACGTCCGTCATGTGACGGACATCGTCAGAGCTGGACACTATGCTTAACGATAATTCACCAAAAATACGAACGCAAGAAAAGTGATGCGTAAGTTATCTAAATCGGACTATTAAAAGTAGGTAAATTTGAAGCCGGCCACCGTTTTTGCTGAATTACCGTTAAGCATGGTTCCTGCTCTGCAATATCCGTCAGATGACGGACGAAAACTCGGTAAGGATTCATCAGGGGAGATTTTTTTACAAATCTACAACCACAGCTCCAAGGCAATCCCCCAACTGCTTCCGGTGGAACCAACTTCCGAATCCCTTCCACTCGCCTCTTCAAGCGAAATGAAATGTACTCCAACATCATTCTTGTAAGGGATTCTTTGAAACCTAGTTTTTCTACGTGCTACTTTTTGTCTCTGCTATTCTTACTTTCAAGTTAGTCTTCAATACTCACTGTTGGTTTATTACCCTTCGTGCTTTTACTATACTGCCTTTCCTACATGTTTCATTCTTATTTTATACTAACAAACCACTACTTGTTTATATTTTTCATCTCTAGCCTGTTATTAATATATTTTATGTAACTAGGTTTCTTATTTCCTTTTAAAATGACCACCCTATATGAAATTTGAAATTTTGTCTAGCTTCATCGCCTCTTTTAATTTACTCTGGCCCTAAACAGGAGGCTGAAGATAAAGATTATGAATCAGAGAGTTCTGTGGAGGATGACGTAGACTCCGACTTCGATGAGGATGAAAATGCGCCTGACAAATCAAACGCCGAAAGCTCAGCTGATGACGAGGGAGAGGGTGGAAAGAGCAAAAAGCGGACCCGTCGTGTAGTTACCAAGGCATACAAGGTAATCCCTCACTCATCTAGAGTTTGAGTTGGTTTATCGTTAGCACTATCACTAGCTAGCACTGAATCCCTATATATAAGAATAGGTTATTCTTAATAATGGATTGCGGATTCTATGTATCGGATCGAATTGACGTCATAACTATTATCAATTGGTTGTATTTTATGTATTAAAACCCCGCATCCCTAAATATATTAAGTAATTTGATTTGCAGCTTTCAAGGGCACCTAGTGTAAGACGATTATGTCTTTTTAAGAACATGTTCGTATTGACGCGTGGACGAGAAATTCAATTATAAGAAAGATACACGACCACCAAAAGCATACGGATTACCGAAGATACACAAAGAAGGCGAGCTACTAAGGCTGATAGTCAATAACAAGTATGGAGCAGCACACATATTGGTAAAGTTCATATGTTTGCGTCTCGAGAAATTATCAAACACGGTGAAACATTCATATGTATTTTGTCAAAAAATCGAAAACATTGTACAGGAAGAAACGGACTTATTGGTGAGTTTCGATGTGGAATCCATGTATACAAATATCTCTAGAGAAAATGCGCTAAAAGCCCTGCTGGAAATCCTGGACCGAGAGGAGGATATCCTGGAGTCACAACGGATCAGAAGGGAGTCGTTAAGACGATTAATCAACTTGACAATAAGGACAACCTATTCTACATTAAGCAGGAACATTTATGAACAAATATTTGGACTTCCCATGGGATCGCCGATCTCACCACTTTTGGTAAATGCATGCATGAAGAAAATAAAAGACAAGCTTAAGATGACACCGCTACAACCGGCAGTGCTCATGCGGTAACTGAATGATTACGCATTTTGGTCACATGGAAGAGGAAAAATGGTAGAGTTTCTGAAAAGTTTCTGAGGAAATAGAATATTCAGGTGGCCATGAAAGAGAAATCAACACTTTTCACAAGTCTACCGACGCAACATGAAAGGGTTGATAAATTGAATTGTTCAGGACTTTACTGTGTATCATGTGGAGCCTGTGAACATAAATATATTGGCGAAACTAGGAGAAAAATTAGCCACGAATTAAGGAACATCAGAGGCTCTGCAGGAAAATGGATACCGAAAGATCCGAACTTGCCGAACACATCGCACAGACTGGACACGAGATCAATTGGGAGGCAACAGAAAGAAGAGCTCCATATGGTGACAAAACAATGAAACGCAAGATTATGGAGACCATTAGTATCCTTAGGGAAAAAAATTTAATGAATAGGAGATTGGAGGAAGGTAGAGTCTGCGATAACTTTGCCTATTGTCTTAGCAAATTCGTGGAAAACAAGAATAGAGCAAGCCTAGCAAAAAGGAGACACCTGAATTAAGGATCTACCGCTAACTGGAGGTTATCGGATCAAGATGAAGAAAATGGGAGGCAGGGGTTTCTGCAATAAAGTGAAGACGTTGTTAGTGAGTAATGTCCGTATTTGAATAAACCAGTACAACTTAAGGGATCTGGTAGTCAGGGGGCTGGGCAGACGGATAAGCAAACCGTCACGGGACTTCGGCGTTCTGGCCAATATGTATTAGAAATCCACTTGA